CAACATAACTCCTTACCTAGTTTTCTAGAAACTTAGTTACCTACGTTTTATAGTAAGATTGTGTCATCCATTGCAAGTATCATGAAATTGTTAATGTTTTAAAGACCTTCCTTATATGGAGAGAATGGCATTGTGGGAAACCAGTGATAAAGTCTCTTTTCATGTGATGGTTCCAGGTAAACGATCCCTGTACGTTCATCTCTGGATCAATCTTCTGTCCTCAGCATCTTAGAAATCACACTAGTGAGGACAAGTGGAATCGTGGAAGATGTTGATATGTGCTGTCAAGTCGCTTGCAACTCATAGTGACCCTGTGGACAATAGCTCTGAACACTGCTCTCTCCTGAGCCAACTTCACTGTCTCTGACACACCTGCCCTCAGTCACTGAGTCAATGCATCGCATTGAGGGTGTTCCCCTCTTGGACTGTCCCTCCACCCTTCCGTGCATCATGTCCCTCTCCAAGGACTGGTCCTTCCTTGCAACATGCCCACAGTAGGTTAGCCGAAGCTTCAGAAGCCTCGCCTCCAAGGAGCAGCCTGGTTTCACCCTATCGCAGTATAACCTCTTTATTCTCCTAACAGTCCATGAAATATTCAGTACTCTTCTCCAGCACCACAGGCCTAAGACATCAATTCTCTTTCTATAGACCCTCATCATTGTCCAGCTTTCTGATGCACAGCAAGAAATTCCAAAGACCTTGGCCTGGATCAGTTGCACCTAGGTGTCCAGAGTGACTGTCGCTCTTCAGTACTCTGGAGAGGATCCTGACAGCCGGGTTTCCCCGTGCAATTCCTCTTCTGAATTCCTGGCTGCTGGTACCAAGAATGTTGCTTGTGTAGCCAAGCAAACTGAAGCTGACAATAATTTCAACTCTTCTCTGTTTTTCTTGATGCTGCCAATTGACCCTGTGTGGAGAGTCTTTGTTTTCTTGATGTTGAGCTTCGATCCGTATTAAAGGCTGCCTTCCTTGACAATATGCAGCAAGTACTTTCTGTCCTTGTCAGTTTCAGCAAGCAAGTTTGTGTCATCTGCATAACACAGGTTGTTGGTGAGTCTTCCTCCAATCCTGATGCCACATTCCTGCTCAAAGAGCTCAGCCTCCTGCATGATCTGTTCTACATATGGATTAAGAAAGATAGGGAATATACTTGATTTTCAGTGAGGGATTCTGTTTTCATTGTGTACTGTGTTTTGAGTTCCACATGAGAAGTTTTCTTAAAAAGCCCTTAGACTTTGGGTGCTCTGGTTACTAGTGGCAAGAAGCTGCACTGCAATCCCAGAGGCGTCTGGTTCAAGTGCACCAGATGCTTTGCTGGAGAATGAGAGACAATCCAGTCCTGTACCAGTCAGATCCAATGTGATGGTAAACAAACACAAAAATAATAAAAGATTTTTAAAAATGCGGGCTTTTTATTCATGTCCAGATTGGAAAGGGGGCAAATCATGCACAGCCATGGTCCTGCCTCCAGCACCAGACAGTGCTGGGCTAGAGGCGTGGGTGGGGACCCTGAGTGGGATGCAGTGTCTGGAGAGTGCCCTCACCGTCAGCTGCCTCCAAATGGAGAAATGGAGGCCTAGAGATGCCAAGCAGCTCTTCCTGGGTCACACAGCATCACCAGGCAGAGCTGGGGCTGGAGTCTGGTGTATCTGCCCCCAGATCCTCCGTCAAACCATCCTGGATGACCAGTGCACCAGAACAACGTCCAACTGATGCTCCCTCAGGCTGTGACTCATAGGGGATCATGGGATGTGTTCCTGTCCCTCACCAGGCCTCAATCGCCTCACCTGTCAAATGGGCATGATGCCACCACCTCCAGCCTTTTGAAGGCTGACTGAGGAAGGGAGAAGCCACCCGAAAAAGCATTTGGCACAAAGTAGTCGCTTAATAAATAATCGTTGGAATTAGTCTTGTAAACACAAGGAAACTGAGGCACAGAGTGGGAAAGCCACTTGTCCCCCAAACCATACCACACAGATGAGGGGCACTACATGAGAATGAGAAAATCCCCTCCTGTACCTGTCAGATCCAAATTGATGGTAAACAAGCACAAA